CTGTTATTTCCTGTGTGTTGGGAGAATGGAGAGAAAAAACCCGGAGCCGAGCCGCCTCCGGCCCCTGCGAGGCGGCCACGGCCTCAGCCGGGGGAGCCCTCCCTGAGGCGCGCCGGAGCGGGGAACGAGCGAGCGAGCGCGCGGGCCGGAGCGAGCCTCCAGGGGCCGCGGCCCCGGCCCGCCCCGCCGTCGGCCCGGGCGTCCGCGCTGGAGGCGGTGGAGGCGCCCCCACCCCCACCCCGCGCCGCGCCGCCGCCCCCCCCCCTCCCAGCGCCGGCGGAGGCCGAGGGACGGGCCGGGGGGCTCCTGCAGGTAACCGCCGCCCGGCCTGAGGAAGGGGGCGGCCTCGAGGGGGGCCGGGAGCGGGCCCCGCCGCGCACCCTGGCTGCTGGGAGCACGGGTCGTGGCCCGGCCCGCCCTGCGAGTGCCGAGCCTCGGGAGTCGCCGAGGGGGCCGGGGGGACCGGCGTGGGCTGCTGAGGGGGTCAACGGCCCGGGCCCAGCGTCCAGGCTGACGGGGCCCGGCAGCTTTCGGGCTGCGGGCGGAGATACCTGCTCGTGGCGGCCTGAGGTGCGGAGGGGTCCGCGCTCCCGGTAGCCCCGCGGGGACCGGCGTTGCCGGCCCCTTCGCCGCGGGCTGGAGGCGAGGCGCGCGCGGTGGAGGGCCGGGCTCGGAGCGGCCCGGGCAGGGGCCGCGGGGTCGGCCGCACGGACACCTGAGGCCATGTGGATGGGGCGGGCGGCCGGGGCCAGGTACCCGGCGGCAGGGCGCGAGCTCGGGGCGCAGGATGCACTTCCTGTGTGGGGTGCTCTCCGCTCCCCTCCCCCGCCGTGGTGAGCAGGGCTGCGTGTGGGGTCTCGCGGAGTCCACGGAGGAGCTCTCTTCTCCGGGGGCAGGGAAGTGGGAAGGCGAGGCCCCGAGTCCCTATTTTCACGGAAAAGTGGTGGTTTTAAGGAGAGTTCGCTCTCCGGCCTGCGGCGGGAGGTGGAATGTCTTGAGTGTGCCGCGATGGGAGTGGAATTTACTGTGTATTTGCGGGGGCAGGGGGAGCCGAGGATCCCTCCACGGATTGTGGGTGCGGACACCAGTGTTGCTTGCCCGTCTCCTTTGGGGGACGAATCAGAATTAGGGGTTCCTCCCGGAGCCCTGCCTTCTCCCTTCCAGAGATTAGATGACTCTAGTAAATGCTATAAAATGGATGGAATTTTTGAGCTATTATCTAACAGGCTGATCTTTGAATGATAATTGGACCCTTATGCTAACAGCCTTAGTGAAGAGTTTTATGAAACGTTTTACACGGGGTGGCCTCGGCGGCTGGGGAAACTGCACTGAATTCCTAGGAAGGCACTTCCAGCCTGGTCACCAAATAAACTGTAGCCCTGGGCAAGTTACCTACCCTCTCAGTGCCTCAAATACACTTCTGTTAAAGACTCCCTCACAGGCCAGACATTTGGAAGGTTTATTTGAGTTTGGTTTGGTGGCTCTCCCACTCGTGTGTCTCGCTCTCCTTTTGACCATAGGAACTTTTTTGAGGAATATAAGATGTGCCTTACTAGACTGAAAAATAGCTTGGTCAGGGTAATTTTTCCTCAAATCGCCAGTGCTTCGCTGTACTTCTGAAGAGAAAATGCACACTATTAATAGCAGTCTAGCCTATGGTGAATGCACGTTATTATATTTTTTCTTTGTTGTAGAGTTTTCAGGGGAAAAAAAAAACACAAAACACTGGCCAATTGAGAAATGTGAGTGAGAGGATTAGGTCTAGTTTTGTTGGAAGCCCTTTCCATGTTGGGAAGGGATGCTTTTCAGAGTGCTTTTAGGTGGCACTGGCTAACTTGAACATTCCAACTTCGATCTTGGAGTCGGCTAGTGGAATTAACATCCACCTCAGGATGCAGTAATTATCTGCATCCCTGGTTTATTCCTTAGTGCTATCAGGATGCATCTTGGCAGATGCTGAAAAGCCCCAATTAATTTCTGATTTTTCTGGTGTGTGAGGGCTATGGGCCATATGCTTTTGAACGGTAAGCACTTCCAGACCAACCTCATATTTTGCTCTTGTTTGCCTTAGACTTTTAGAATTGTAATATCCGAGGTACATATGCTTAATGTGGCATCCTGTGCCTTTTTTTATTTTTTGGTTATGTGTCCTGACTGGCCTTGAAATTTCAGTGATCCTTCTGCCTGCAGATTATATTCACCTGAGATCATAGGTCATTGTGTACCGCACCCAGTTCACTGTGTCTTCCTTAGATAATCTTTTTATTTGTTCTGCATAGTTTAAAAATGGTCTTAACATGGATGAGGGAATGGGGTCATAATGTCAATCTTGTATATGTGTTAATAGAGGTTTTCTTTTATGTTAACATCAGGCTTATCACATGAGACACATATGACTCACAGATAAATTATTTGGAATTTCCAAAATATGAAATACTATTAGGACTTGAATTATGACCTGTGTTTAGTATATGACTTGAAAAAGCTCCAGTCACTCAAATTGGAAGTACCTATCACACTCGTGTATATTAATTATGTCTGTTTTATAGCTTGTGAAGAAAAAATACTAGAAGACTTTAGTGAGGTAATTTCTGTGTGTATGTGTGTGTGTGTGGGGGGGATCTTACATTGCTAAGATAGACTTACCTTGGTGTTAAAATATTTTAGCAGAGTAGTTTTTCTTAACTATGTAAAATGAGGTGTATGTAGTTGAAGTGATCTATTTTGATCAAGAAGTTAGAACTGGGCTTTTTCAGTGGGTTTTACTTTCTCTTAGAGATAGGAAAGGATGCTAACATTTGCACAGAAAACAAAAAACAAGCTATAGACTTTGGCCAACAAATTATAAACTGTCTTAAAATGTCTACCCAGTAGATTTGAGAGTTCCTCATTGCTTCTCTTCACAAATACATAGAGCTAGTAAGAGGTGGGGCTTGGATATAACTCTATTAGTCTCAAAACTTGTTACTGGGTTCCTTTTAACTCAGTGCCTGTTGAAGGTGCAGATCAGCTAGTAATATGTGTGGCCCTAAAATATGTATCTTCCTGCTGTCATTCTGTTCTATTGGCTCTTAAAGAAAAAAAAGCACAACAAACAACAACAAAACTGGTAAATATGAAATCAGGACCTGGGAGAAATACTGGAAAGTGATTTTTGTGACCCTTGGGAGTTTTCTGAATTTTCAGTTTTCTCATACTTGGCCAGTTTTTTCTGGTATGCCTAAGATTTCTTTTGTAAAGTTCCTCTTTCTTACCTAGTTTTGCCATTCTGTCTTGAGCTGAAAATGTTATCAGCTGAAAGAGCAAGCAAGACAATGCCTACAAATTAAAGGTTGTCTTTCTTGTTGCCTGTGTTTCGGTTTTACAGCGTACAGGAACCATGTGGTGATTGCTTTCACTTGGGCCAAGTGGGACTTTGTTGACATACATTTATGAAAAACAGACTCTTCCCACTACGCCTTAAGTATTACTTCCTCTTGGGGGGAGTATTTTTAGTTTTAGGCTCTTGAGAGCTGAGTCTTAGTTGTGCTAGGCAGGTACTCTGCCACTGAGCTACATCCCTAAGCTTCTCAAGAATCTTGTCATGACCATGGTATCCACAGTGTAGGTGAAAAGGTTCTCATGATGATAAGAAAAATTCAGAGTTTCCTATATTAGGGCCATGCTTGCTTTGACGTAATGCACAGGACTAGCAGAAAGATGTGCTACGTAATAGGAGTTGTTGGTATAACTGGCCTCATTTGGTGGTTGTTATGGACTTAAGAACAGATTGGGGCCTGGAGAGATGATGGCTCGTAGTTAAGAGCACTGTCTGCTCTTCCAGAGGACCTGGGTTCAAATCCCAGCACCCACAGGGCAGCTCAAAACTGTAACTCCAGTTCCATGGGATCTGACACCCTCACACAGACATACATTCAGGCAAACATAAATAAATTTAAAAAATAAATAGAAGAAATAACAAAAAAGAAGAAGAGGAGACTGCTGGGTGTGCTGGTACATGCTTTTAGTCCCAGTACTGTCAAGAGGCAGCCAGGTCACTATGACTTTGAGGCTAGCCTGGTCTACGTAAGTGTTCCGGGCTGGCAAAGGCTATATAATACAACTCTGTCTCAAAAAAAAAAAAAAAAAACACCAAAACTCAAAACAACCCCCCCCCCAAAAAAAAACAAAAAACAAAACAAAACAGAAGAATGAGAATATACTAACTACAATAGGGGAAACTGCCCCTATTGTAAGCTGTTCTGTAAGCTTGGGACACATGACTGTCAGCACATGTGAAGATGGTTTCTTTGTTTGAACATTACATCCCTGAATGTTGATTAAGATCCTCCTGTGCACATCTTGCAATTTGCATTAGCCAGGTGTTTATGGGCTGCTCTGAAGCATGGAAGATGCAGTGGTGGGCCAGATAGAGAAGGAACCACTCTGGAAATAGAATGTAAACAGTAAATAAGAGTGTCATGTGGTAATAGCTACAAAGAGACCAAAAATATTAGGTGGATGTGTTGGTGCTGCCTGTAATCTCAGAACTCATGAAGTAGAAGCAGGATTGGGAGTTTATAGCCAGCTTGAGCTACACAGTGAGCAAGCCTATCTGGAAAAGAAAGAAAAGCTCAATGTGATAGTGACTTAGAATGCTACTTCAGAGTGGTTTAAAAGATGGTCCCTGTTTTTGTAAACATCTCTGTCAGATAGGTAGTCAGATTTAATCTGTAGGGTAAGCAAAAAATAATGTTAAGTAATTTACTTTGGCCTTGAACCTCGTGTGGGGGGGGAGACACGGACGACCCAAGGCCACTACCAGGAAGTGATGTTCCCTTCTCATAGTCTGTTATCACCAATAAATATGTGCTTTTTGCAACAAACATGCTTTCTTCTCCCTTATACAAAACAACACACAGAACCTGTTCCTCATTTATCTGTCCAGCTAAAGCAATAATCAAGGAAATACCTGGGGAAGTAGGACCCTTGCTTTTCTCAAGAAACTCTACTCCTCCTCCCCCTTTACCCCCATGTAGCCCAGGCTGGTTCATCCTCATTATGTAGCTGAAGATGACCCTGAGTCCCTGATCTTCCTGCTTCCACCTTCCAACTGCTAGGATGTGCTGCTGCAGTTTACAAGAGCTATGCTTTTATCAGGCACAGTGAATATTCTTCAGGTTTCCGAAGTAATAGTTCATACTTTAAGTCATAGAAATGAAACCAGGGCTGTCCTGTAACAGGTGTGGAGCTAAAAGAACTCAGGCCTTCTGGGTCATTAACTGTTTTGAATCCTAGAGCCCAGTTTTAGCCCCACATCTATCTAAGAGGCC